AAGCTTACTAAAATGCTGTTGTAGATATTACTCCATTATTTTCAAGTATTGGTTTGGTAGGGATTTTGTTTAATTGCATGGAGGATTTCATCATGAGCTGAAATCAGTTAGAGAACCACTGGAAAACTTGTCCACTACTCCCAGGTTTTCCAGTGGTTCTCTAACTGGTTAGGACTCTCGCCGACCATGCACATGGTCCGGGGTTCGATACCCTGCCGGCGCACACCCGATATCTATGGTATGCCTGAATTTGGGCAACCGATATCCATGCTGAAAATTCCATACTTGTACTGAAAATACGGTGTGGAATCAAGCTGTAAATCAAAATAAAATAAAATAAAATAAATCAAAAAATAAAAATAAATGATGTCAGCTCCATGCAATTACTATATTAGTCATATGAATTCATTCTGACAAACTACTCCGAATAACATCAGTTTATCGAGTAATATTTTCTGTAATACAATTGACAAAGTGTCCATCATCTCTGATTGCGGTAACTAATAGGTATTTAAAGCCAACTTCAATATTAAAACATGTTTGATTAAATTCAAATTATTTAAAAAGCTTTGATGGAGCCGAAATTACAGCTGAAAAAGAAAACAATTTTTAAATACACGTATTACCTGGATTTTCTTTCTAACAGCCCAAAGAAACATTATATATATCATGCAAACCAAATTGTGCAAGGTACTTTCACGCAGTCCACAAACATCTTTGTATGCATTAACCGATAACATATATGTAGAGTAGTCAAAATTAGTACAAATGAATGAAGTTGTTCAGGTGGATTATTCCTGAACTGACTGAATAAAAGGTGGTTGAGAGCACCAGTAAAGTAAACTTAAGTTATTCAAATATGAGTAATGAAAGGCTAACAGAGTTTAATAAGGACAAAGTAAGATTTGAAAATCATCAGAAAGGGAGAAGGAAAAGATCATGGTGAAGTGAAATCACGCATTTCCAACTCAGAGTTGATTTAAAAATGTTATGGAATAATGACTGTTAGATAATGAAAAAGTAACTGCATTTCTGAGTGAACTAATTTAAAATAAGAGAAATATTAACATTTTTAAAATCTAGTTCAGTTCCCTTTAGAAGTTGATCCCAGCTATCTACACAGTGGGATTGAAAGCATAACAGTTAGTTTCATGAATAGAGAGCCAGCATTCAGCTGTTGGATTATAGTCCAATTACAATATCAGTTAATGTTATTTTAAAGTATCAATCAACTTTTAATTACCTCCAAAAGACACAACATTTATAGGTTTACTTTCTGGTAATAAATCAGACCCGAAGAAAAATCGTTTTCAATCTGGTATTTGAACCAGTACCATGCAGTGTTGCACTCCAGAGTTCAGAGGATATTAAGCTGGTGATGATACTGTATTATTATTATTATTGTTCCCTTGGGTTCCTAGTGGAACATAGAGCTTCAACTGCACATCTCCACTTGCTTCTGTCTTCTGCTGTACTTTTCACCTGCATCCATGTTAGTCCATACAGTTTCAGCTCCTGTTCACACGATCTCCTCCATGTGACTCTTGGACGTCCCACTCGCCGCTTCCCTTTCGAGTTCCACTCGAGCTATGGCCTGACACGCGATGTCACCCAGTGACCTCCTCACCGAATGTCCAATCCATCTCCACTTTCTCCTGCATATTTGTTGGGCGATTGGTTCCTGTTTTGTTTGTTCCCATAGCTTCTTGTTGATGATTCTTTGCGGCCATCTGATCTTCAGTATAGAGCGAAGACAACTGTTGATAAAGGTCTGCAACAGGCTGTTGGAAATATCCTTTGTGACACGCCAAGTTTCTGATCCGTATAGAAAAACTGACTGAATTGACGTTTGAATTGAAAATCCGAATTTTGTTGTTGATGGTGAGTGACGAAGATTTCCAGATTGGTTTCAGGTTGATGAATGTGTTTCTCGCCTTCCCGATTCTCGATTTGACATCCTCGTCCGTTCCTCCTGTAGTTGACGCCAAGTTTCTGATCCGTATAGTAGCAAGGAAGCGATCACATACTTTTCTTAAATAATGTAGATATGCACTACTGATAAGAAGAATACTTTATCCCGTATGCAGTGAATTCAGAAGCAGTCAAGTCAAAATTTAAACAACCTAAGACGAGGTTTTACTCTGACTTTCTCTAGGATTTCCCTAGATGCCGAAGAAAACTACTTTATAGAAATCAAAGCCTTGCCATACTTTGAATGATGAATATAACATGCATTGCTGGTAAAACAACTGAAATGTTTACCTTAGAAATTTTTACGTTGTAGATTGGTCTATTTTTCGGTTTACTGTTTTTTTTGAGACTACATGAAACTGTATGGTTTTAGAAAAGATAAAAAAGTCAGAAGTCACATACAATTTAAATGAAATCCAGTCATCACTGTTTAAAGTAATTAAAAGTGATTTACCCTGGTTTTAAATGGAAATGAAACTATGTTAACCGATAAAAACTGTTAATGAAAGAATATTAAAGTGGCATAACATTCGTTATTTCCCAAAAGCTTCTGAAGGCATTGATTTCGTTTGTGTGATTACATCTGACTGATGTTTCGTAACAGAAGCATATTTTAAATTTCATTAATGTAATCTGTGCTCCAGAAAGGTTTCTTAAGTGAGTAAAGCTGTATGCTTAGGATCTCATCCAGACTATGTAAACCTTCCTAAGCCTCTAACCCATGTACACACATCTCAGGACTTTGTAGACTGGCATCATGTTTTGATCTGACTATCATTCATTCTTTTCCAACCAAGAAAATTAACCAGTATCTATTTATAGCTGAATAATGGTATCATGACAAAGTCTGGTTAATCGAAGCATGAAAATGGAATAAAGAAAATGCTTGGTTATTAATAGCAAAAGTGTGTCTAATTGGAAAGATTGAGTTAGTATATAACATTAATAACCAGATAAAGGTAGATTTAATTTCTCTTCTGTACACATAGTTTATGGGGCAATAGTTTCCTCAAAGGTAAAGGAAAAACTCCTCATTATGGGGAATGGGACTGAAGGAACGTTTCCGAAAAGGTGATTGCAAGATTTGATACACAGTGAACCAAAACTTAGTGAATCCAAGTACTCGGTTCTGCGTTTCCAGCTGAAGGTGGACATAACTGAACTTTCCATTAGAAAAAATAAATTATGTCCATTTGATAATATACAGGCTTACTAGGTGGTTGAAAAATGAGATGAAATACATCCGTGAAAGATATCTCTCACTTTAGGGTAATGCTGGTTCCTTTTATATCATTCAGAACCTTGCGGTAACTTCCGATATTTCATTTCCAGTTATAATAATACTACCGAAAAAACTGTTGTTACTGCTTGTGCTACTCCGCCGTCCAAAGGACAAATTTAATCACCTTTTACTAATTTGTTACATATATCTTTGTTCAAGTTTGATTTAAAGAGAGGCCGAACAAAAACCGATCATCCAGTTAATAACACGGCATTTTGATCATATAAAATAAAGTATTATTTGCATTTAGTCACTTTGAAAATGTTTCCCACTAAGTGAATCTAAAAGTAAATACCAGCAATAGAAGAGGTATGATCCTCAGTGAGGCTGTGATATGACAAAGAAATTCAGGAAAAAATTCACACCTACTGAGCATCATTAAAGGGTCAGGTGACCAGTAGGGAAGGCAATACATCTCCATTTTCTTAAAGATATTTGCTGAGCAATAAGGACTCAGTTGGTTTGTTCTCAAAGTCACCTGTTGCTCATCCTTTCTGGACACAAGGTATTCAGCACCTAACAAGCGAAGACATCTGTGAATGAAATTTTGAAGCCAATCAGAAACGCTTATGGCGATGCACTGTGTCTCAGAACCACACTGAACACTCACTTGAAATCAGTGTTCAAAATTCCAACCACATTCTTTGTGATGAATGATGTGGCTGACACAATGATTACAGAGAAATGAACGCCTGTCTTACTCTACCAATCATGCCATTGACATCCTCATCCATTGGAACGATGCTGCCCAGGTGAGTGGAGGAGACATCATTAGTATTTTATCCTATCCACTGAAAAGTAATGAGTATAATATAAATTTGTTTAGCTGTTTTAATATTGTATTTCACTTTTAGATTCTACTAAAACTTACATGTGAATAAATAAATAAATGCGTCAGCTAGGTATGTGAGGTCCTCGGGATTCCTATTTCCTCTTCCTAGTAAGTTACCATATTCAAGTGGAATAAACATCCTACTCGCATCGAATGTTTGTTGACTCAGTAATGACTCGTTAATAAGAGATTTGTTGACTAAGTTCAATAACTCAAGATGCCTACATGGGAAACCCGATCATGTAGTAAGTCTTTCTCATTAGAGTGATATTTCTTCAAAATTGAAAGAGAAATACTCGTCGTCTACTGAACACATGAAAGCTATGTAATTATTTCAAGCAAATGGTATTTGAAATGATTTAAGAAGTTTATTTGAATCTGCATATTTGTTTTGTAATTTATTTAATAAATAACCATTCTGATTGGATATGCATATAAAGCTGTCTAGCACGGTAAATACTTATATTTTGCTTTATCGTTTGGCAATTTGTCTGATATTCATGATTTAACAAACACATATGCTTTGAGACTAAGAACGCCACTTCCGACAGCTATGTATAAATTTCATGTTTTTATCAACAATATCTTTGACTTAATGAGTTCACAACTTGTAGGATATTTAAAAGATTGGTTGTTGAGATAACAGCTTTTCAATTAGTTTACCTCAATGTGAGTATGTTGTCTTGTGCATAACACAGCATTCCACCAATTCATCTGTGAGACTTTCCTTTGACTGACAGTAATATTTCATGGACTAGCTGCTTCCCTGACTGATGTCTCGTTTTATTGTCTATTGAAAACGCCACTGTTTCCTCTCTTCTAATAAATCCTATTGCATGGCATTAAACTGCTGAATGAAGAATGATGATCGTCTAAAATGTGGTTTTCCTGTAATAAATTTATGGTTTGTGAGAGTTACTGAATTTGTAATGTTTGTACACTGTGAGTATTATGTTTAAATACTAACAAATTCAAATCACTTAAACTTAATTTCGTCCCTGAACACTTTGTGAAGGCGTAGATTAGTTCAGCGATGCTGTACTCACGCATCATTTTCTTTCTTCCTCCATTAGATTTCTTGTGGTGGTGGTTGTTTCCATTTGAAGCAGATGAGTCTTTTCCATCATCTGGACTACATGTGAGGTGGATGGATGTAGGACCAATGAGAATGGAGGTAGTGCCTTTCTGATGTTCATCACTAGATAGAACATTTTGTATTGAACCTGAAAACACAGGCAAATCGAAGTCTTCCTTGTATTTCTGCCTGCCTTTATAAAGAAAATAATAGTGATCTATCTTACTCATTGTATCCTTCATTAGTTTATCATTTTCTAATTTTTGACTTTCAAAATAAGCCATTTCACTGTTCAACCAAACATATTCCTCTTCAAGTCTTGACAGACGTAGTCGTGTCTTCACGAGTGCTGATTCCACCACATTTCTGTAGATGATTGCAAGTCTCAGCAATCCCATCTCTTCACTTCCCCAATCCAAGTATTTTAAGTCTGTCTGTAGAATTGTGTTCATCTGATGATTGATTTTGTTCCACCTTAACTTCGAAGTGTAATCGATATCTTTCGTGTTGTCTGCTGGTGAACAGATGCGTTCGTCTTCATTTTGTAGCATAGTTTGTAAATTGGTAATTTGTTGCATTAGTATTTTTAGTGTGAATGGAAGAAAATATTCATCACTGTTGTGAATATTCCTGTTCATTTGCATTAGGTAGTAATGGGAAATTATTGATCATAGAGTGATTTAAATTGGTTAGTGTATCACTTGATCATTAGATTATTGACTTTATTTCGTGCATACTTGCAGCCATACGGTGGTATTGCCCATATACCTTATTTATTATGAATTATTTGGTTTCGAATTGGATGGTAGGGTTTTCGGAGGACACCTGCAATGCACTCTGTTGTTTGTTCTCTTTTGCCTTTACTCCTACTTGCCAGGTTTATGTGTCTTTTTCACATGATTTCCTGCATGTCAATATTTATCCATGATCTACTCGTCGCTTCTCGCTTACAGTTCACTCGACAGCCTGAATTATGACGTCACTGAATGGTCTCCTCTGTTTATGTCTAATTCAACTGTGTTTCGTTCTGCATATTGTTTGAATAATATGTATGTGGTTATTCCCTGTGCCAGATTTCCTTTTTGCCTATCGTTTCTCGCGTGGTATTGATTTTCAGTATCACATGAAGGCAGCTGATGTTGGTAGTCTGCAGCAGCCTGTTGAAAGTGTTTTTTGTGATGCGCGAAGTCTCTCTCCAATTAGGATCATTTACTTGACATTAGTTTTGAGAGTCTAAATCTTGTTATTAATGCTTATAACCCACTGATTTCATAATAACGAAGATCTGTTTTGCCTTTCCACTCCTGCTTGGCACATCTGCATCCGTATCACCTGTAGTTGAAACAATGTTGTTTGTTGTTGTTTAGGTATCCTCATCACTTTTGTCTTCTATGTTCCATTGAAGTCTTGTCTTCGCTGCTTCTACTGCTAACTTGTTGGTTTTCTCGTGCAGATCCTCTAGTATGCTAGACAATAGACATGAATCATCTGAAAAGTGTAAATCTTATGGAATCTTCTTGTCAGCGCAACTTATTCCTGTCTTCTCGTCCCTCACCCTTTGCCGCATATATATATATATATACATACAGACTGATAGTTTTCAATACTCTCTTCTTTAAAATTGTATTAATTAAACAATATCAACTACAATGCAGGTGAGTTACGCGCTTGACATTCTAGTCCTCACTATCAGAGTGTGATGAAAATTGGATTATGAGTGTTTCACTTAAGATACGAAGCTTTCCTGTCTGCATCATTAAGTCCTCAGAGCAACAGTGTCCAAGTGCTAAGATTTGCATTTGAATTGGAGATAGTAGAACATCAGAATAATTGAACACGTATTTTTCTGGACAATTAGGAAAGACGGTTTCTTGGGTAATGGACTTTGGTTCAGTTTCATTATAACACCATCTGTTCTTTTCTTTATAACCGTATTGGGAAGCATCTCAGACGAAATCACATATTCCCTAACTCAGGTACACTGAAACGACACACTCTGAATCACACTGATACAGTTCGATCAAGACTACCTGAACTAGAGCAGAATATCTCAAAAATCTCCCAAGTTCTCTATGAGTTATCTGAAGATGAAAGAACATCATTAGAAAACTACTTCAATATGGTAACAGAGAAAAGAACAGATGATGTTATAATGAAACTAAACGAAAACCTTAAGTCCGTTACCCAAGAAACTGTCTTTAGTACTTGTCCAGAAATATACCTGTTCAGTTAATCTGATGTTCCACTATCTCCAACCTAAAGAGCAACAATGCTAAAGAAACTCCTGGAAGTATAGATTTTAGTTTGTTCTGCTTCCTTGGAAATGAGACACTGGTGAATTGTGTTTAGAGTTATAAAAAGTTTTCTTTTTGGTTCTGTGGTAGAATGTAACTGCACGATGGAATTATTTTTATTCTGTCAGTCACACAATGATGCATTATATTTTATTTATGCACTGGTGTTGGTTTTACTTTCCATATTCCCGACATTGGTGTTACATCATTCCTGTTTCATGTATTCATTGTTGATTCACAGAAAAAAGATTCAGTGACCGACGGCTCATTCCGTTTTCCTATATTACCATATTGTTTTAATTCTTCTAAAATGTGTTTTTTCTAGCCAACAACATTCTTAGGTTCTATCCTTTTACGCTTAGCTAAATTATTGTGTTGCTATAATCTAATTGGCTATGGTCTAGTGGACCGGCGTATGTTCTTCACCTCGTAGTCATTGCAAAGTATCTTGCTGACTAAGTGATTTTACCTAGTCAATTCAACGGGAGGCATTAGTCCGCATAGTTTATCCCTGAAAAATTAGAAGATTTGAATAGCATATTATTTGTCCTGTGTTAAGAATCCCTCAAGGGGCTTCGTTTACGTCAATGAAATGATGTGATAAGAAGCGATGGAATTGCATCAAAAGAATCCGGAAGTTCTGTGACAAACGTGGTAAGACTGAATAATGAATTGTGCTGGAAATAAATGATACTGCATCACTTTGTATTATATTAAATAAATAAAAATGTCATCTTCCACTGGGGAGGCAGGTGTATCCACCTGACGAGTCTTAAACAGGACGAGCCGCGCACCCTGCACAACACTGCTAGTTGCTATTTACCAAACTAACAGCGTATCCGTACTCTGTAATTCGGTCATTGCGAAATACAACAATTCCATTAATTATAACATTTTGGCGTTGCTATGGAATTAAATAATCTTGGAAAGTTTCCTATGAATGGTTCACCGCGGGAAATCTATGATTATCTGGAATGATTCGACGCATGGTGCGTGTCGAAGAATGTTCGTGATGACAAAATTTCGGCTCATTTTATTACTGAGATTGGGCTAGATGCGTACAGTCTATTGAAAACTCTGTCATTTTCAGATAAATCAATTTCTCTGCCATATGATAAACTTCGAGGACTTCTAACACAGCACTTCCATATAACTACTTTCGAAACACGAGAGAGGGCTCAGTTCAACAAACCTGTTCTTGCTCCCAACCAGAAGATTAGAGACTTTATTCTTCAGCTTCAGATACAAGCTTCAAAGTGCAACTTTGGAGATCAGCTGTATACTCAACTACGTGATCGTATAATTGCTGGAATCAATATTCCTAAGTTAGAGAAAGAGTTGATTCAAATTCCTTCCTGCACCCTTAAAACTGCTAAGGATTTATGTATTACATATGAAGATGTCAACAGTGAATATCCAGCTCCCACTACGTCAGTCTCTGATGTCATGCTATCCAAAGGTGACAATGCAGGTGATCATAAAAAGAAATCCAAACTGTCATCCATATGTAATAGAATGCAGACAAAAATCAAAACATGAAACTGTGTTTTTCATGTGGAAAGATTCATTTACGAAGCACTTGCCGTTTTCGTGGTGCTAAGTGCCATAAATGTTGTAAAACCGGGCACATATAGTCTGTTTGTCGGAGTTCAAATATTTTTGCTTCTCAGAATTCTAATAATTCTCTCAATTTGTCTGGTAAAATGCATTCAGTGTCTCTTTCAGCTTTTCACAGCACTGAATCTCATCTGATGAAAACCTTTATTACAAATTCAGGCAAGTCTCACTCTTTTATAATCGATACTGAGAGTACTGAAACCATAATTTCCAAGAAAGATTAATTATTGCTTTGTAAGCATGCCCAGGTAGATCCTACTGTTAGTTCCATTACAGGTATTACTGGTCATAAACTACCTCTTATTGGTACTACTAACATTGGTTTGAAATCAAACAGTAGTAGTTTTGTGGATATCCCTTTTCTTGTTAGTGAATACGGTTCATCTATATTGGGATTAAAAGCCCTTAGATTGTTGAATATTGAAATCTCACTTTGCACTGAGTTGTTTGATGAATCTTTGTTCAGGGAATTAGTTCGCCAATGTTCAAAATGTGTAGGTGGCATGAAGATTCAGCCCATCCATCTTAAAATAAAGGGTGATTTCGTCTTCTTAAAGGGCCGATTGATTCCATACGGTTTTCGAGATGCAGTTAAGAAAGAGTTAGAAAAGCTGACTGAGCAGGGCATACTTATGCCAGTTGAATCCTCGAATTGGGCTACTCCCATTGTCACACCACTAAAGGCTGATGGAAAAACACCGAGAATTTGTGGTGACCACCGTCTTACACTCAATAGTCGTCTTCTACAGCAAAGTTGCACTGCACTAGAAAGCGAAGACATTCTCTACAACCTACATTACTCAAAATACATTTCCAAAATAGATCTAAAAGATGCTTATTTGCAAATTCCTCTTGACGAAGCTTCTATTTCATTAACAACCACTAATACTCCATTTGGATTGTTCAAGTATAAGTTCTTATCTTTTGGTTTAAAGGTTTCACCTGCAATATTTCAAAAAGTATTAAATCAGATGGCAGACGGATTAGATGGTGTTGAGTCTTACCAAGAAGACATTATAGTTCATGGACCGAACATCGAATTGCATAATGAACGTCTTTTAAAACTCCCTAATGGATAAGATTTTATTTTGATAAATCACACAGTGTAGTACAGTTATATTAACTGATGACGTTTCGAGCACAAACTATTGCTCATAATCATATCATATCATATCATAATCATATCAACTTGATATGATTATGAGCAATAGTTTGTGCTCGAAACGTCATCAGTTAATATAACTGTACTACACTGTGTGATTTATCAAAATAAAATCTTATCCATTATGGAATTATACTCTACCACAGTGCCCAAGTTTTATACTTAATGTCTTGTAAAACTGTTCAGGCGTTACTGTGAGAAAAATACTCTTGTTAATCCGTCTAAGTGTCATTTTTACTTTGTCGTCTGTATCATGCTTGGGATACACAGTAGACTCCAATGGTTTCAAACCTGATGCTAGTCGTTTGGTATCTGTAATTCAAGGACTTTCATCCAATAATATGTCATCGTTGAGATCGCGGATTGACATTCTTTAGGTTTACTCCAGATTCATTCCCAATTTCACTTAACTGTTATCTCCACTTTTTGATATTGTCTCCAGTAAACAATTTAAGTGGGAACGACAACATGAAGATATCTTGCGAAAAACTTTGGAATTTCTTAATAAACAAGCTTTCTTAAGACCTTTTTCATCGAATGATAAGTCCGTTCTCACTACAGATGCTTCTCC